GGATGATGGGACCCTCGAAGTCCACGTCACAGCCCATGTTCACAAACTCACGCTTGTAGGCCGTCTTCAGCTTTCCACTCTTCTTACTGAAACAGGCAATCATAGGGTTAAATGTTTATCTCTAATATCCATTGTAAATGTAATACATGTTCCTTCATCCCCATAGACACTGTGGTTTATGATCCCACATAAATACACCATCCTCTCCCCAAATACTGACTAGAGTACCAAATGTGGATTAATACGCCCCTGAAAGTAGTCTCCAAAAATTACTATTATGGCCCTGTTTGTTTGTTTGTTTGTTTTGAAGGAGTAGCTGTTTTTCTTAGATTACTGAGACAGTTTTAATATCAAAAACTATATATTTGCGAGTAGTATTTGAATTAGGTACAAGTTAAACTAATCTTTCAATGTAGGTTTGAAAATGTGTGAAAACAACAGATAATTGTTGACAAAATAAAAGAAACCTTAGTGTATATAATTATATATTGTGTATATTAATCACTGTGCTCTGACTTTACGGTACTACCAGGCCTTATCCAAAGTTTATACTCACTGTACTACATTATGTTTCAACTCAAACCCAAAGTTATGCTATAACTGATTCATCCAAATGTCCACTTACCCTGTGTTTGGTACAAAAGATGTATCCAAGGCGACCTTTAGTCCTTGAGTCAGCTGGAGGTAAAGTAGCAGAATAACAGTGTTAGAAATGCAATTTAACGTTTAGCAAAACCAAATCTGAACCCTGACGTTGGCACACACCTGGTCCTCCACGGTGACCTCGGTGGCCAGCGTGTTGTCTGTGTTCCACTTCTGGTTGAAGGTGAGGCCCAGCTCCTTCATCTTGTATTTGGTCTCCAGGCTCCCTGCAGCCTTCCCTGTGTCTGTGTTACTGGAGCCAGATGTGTTGAACTCCTGAAAGGAGGACATTCAGTCTTTAGTATACACAAGTCAATCACACTCGGATAATCAGACAATGTCCAACGCACTAGCAACACAGCGTGGGAAAAAAAAGAGTAAAACCTGTGCAGACTACAAATCAAACTAAATGTAATTATGATTAAACTGTACAGAAATAAATCATATCAGAGGCATATAACATTGTTATCATTAGACAATACACTTGACAGACAGCCTCAACATGAATCCATGCAGGACACCAGTAGCACATGTAATGGACAGAAAAACATGTTGCAGAGTGTATGGTTAGAAAACATAGACAAGGGTGTTAAAAAGTGACCATATTGGCTTATAATGTAGTATTTAACATTTTAAACCTTGTTTCGTACGGCTGCTGTTGTCTTTCCTTTCATAATGTAGATGAAGTGTTTGGTTGTGCATGGTCAGTGTTTCCACGGCTTATCTCATATACTGCTTGACCCATCAGCCTAATATTTATTGAGCTAATTTATGACTGTATGCTCAAGGAGCTCTTGTGGGTGCGGTGCTTCATGATTTATGAAAAGCTACTTATTGAATGTTATAGCGTTGTTGGCTGTTGACTCTTATCTCCTCTTGAACAGCCGTTACAGGCAGCATACCCACTCTTTCAGTTAGGAAATGTTCCTAAGTAAGTCCATTAGTATTTCTGATCTATTTTCCATCAACACCGATGCATTTGATTGAGTGGTTGTGCTCAGTGAGTGTGTCGTTGGAAACAGAGCGTTTAGGGCAAAAAGCTGAATCTTTTTGTAACAATCTGACAGAACTCTGGAGGGGAAAAGGAGGAGGTGTGTGTTTCATGGTAACGGATGTATCGATTAAAAGGAGCTGACCGGATTGCATTTCACTAGAGTTGTACCTTTTACAGTTTAATGAGTTGTATAAATTGCCTGATTGATTTGTATAGTACATAATGTAATGAGGAAAGCAGCTTCCGTGGAGCATGGATTGTGAATTTCAACTTTTCAAACGATTATTTTCCTTCTTTTTCGCCAACACAACACAGCTATCATGTTAAACTGTTTTAAATTAGATACGGTAGCCCATAGGCTGACATTCGTAAGCAGTGACATAATCTCAGTGGTTGACCAATCACATCCCTAGAACAAACAGTTAATGGATTAATTAAGACAATTGACTGACAATGGAAATTAAGCCCTTAAGAAATGAAAAGTTAGAGGTTATTAAGAGTGAAGTGACAGGACATTAAAAGCAAATAATCGTTATAAAAACACATTAATATTCGTGCTGTGTGAATGATGCTCACAAAGACAAAAGAAGACAGACACTAGAGCATGAGAACAGCAGTGAGGCATGATGGAGGTGAACGGTAAATGAATAGCAGCTGTCAGCGCTGACTCCGATCTTACCATCTACATTATCGTCCGGCACAGAAGGCAGCAGCATGGAGACAGAGCAGCGGTTAGGGGAGGCAGGGGGAGACAGGTAGAGAGACAGACAGGCCACAGTACAAACATGTCTGTCCTGTTTCTTAGAGAACAAGTTTAGCAAAGCAGGTCTGCATCAGCACCGCTCAGATACCTGGAGGCGTCCCACTACAGGTCACAGCAGGGGGCGGGGTTCAGGTAGAAGGTGTGCTGAGGCTTTTATTTTGGAGGAGGGTGAGAGAGTGCAGTAGTGATGGAGAGCAGGAAGGTTGTAATAGGAGATCAGTGTATTACTGTGAGCTTCTGAGATGTCCAACTCTGTAAAGAGCTTGCTGACGGGCTCCACTAGTTGTTTACCTATCATGTGCTACCATTTCCTGTTTGTTACATTGGTATCAGCTTCCAGAGCTTAAAAACACTTTGCCTGTCCGCCGGGCTCTGAGGACAACTATGGAGTTCTTTCTTAAATATCTGTTCACAAAGTATTATCACAACGACACTCAGATAAAACCTTTTTCTGGTTATTCCAACAGTAAATGAGGTTTTAACAGAGATGGACTGGTCAGAAAGACACTAGAAAATGACAACTGGTAAAAAAAAGTAATATAAGAAAAGAGTCCTCACCACTCCACTCTGTGATTTGGTCTTGAGGTCGAGCTTCACAACTCCAAAGCCTGGAAGATTGTAAAGGACAGAATGATGTGTTAGCAATGCAATGAACAAATAATTCCAATAAACAAGATTTAAAGGAATAGGTGGACATTTTGGAAAATATGTATATCCGGGAAAAACTACTCATATCTGCCTGTTCAATAATATAAACCTGGAGCAGGAGGCATTTACATTAGCTTAGCATAAAGGCACATAAAACCTAGTGGCGTTTTTAACATGTCAGTGCCAGGAATGCATGATATGTTAATTATCGAGCTTAAGAGAGGTTGGAATTTGTTTTTAAATATTTGGACAAAGCCTGGTAAGCTCTTTCCCCCAGTGACCAGTCTTATTGCTAAGCTAAGCTAACAGTCTCCTGCATCTTCACATTTAACAAAATTAAATTAAAAATCATGTGGATATATATATTGATTTAAATATAATGAAATGTGTGCAATGTGATGACGTACATTGTTTGGAATTTGATTTGATCGATTTGGTTTGAAACACACATCACCTACAATTAAGTTTATATAATAATGTGATAGAAAGTGTATTCCTTTTGGCCTTCTCCTAGTTCAAACATTACAGAACTACTTTAAATCGTCATAGCTATAATCATCAATATATTTATATTATCTGCGCAACAGAGAGGAGTCTAAGAGCTACACTCACTAAACACCAGGTTTGAACAGTCTCTGTATTTTAGGAATTCCTCACGGATAATAATTGACTCTTTAGGCTAAAATAGTACTCACCATATCCCTTGCTGAATATATCCTTGGCAGATTTGCCCAGGTCCGCGTATGAAGGAGGGACAGCCATTGTGCTGGAGGAGAGAAAGTCAGTAATGTCATTAGTGTCGCTGACTCATTTTAATATAATATATATATATATATATGTTACAATGTATTTATTGTTATCAACTTATTTATTGTCATATGAACAACAATGAATCGTGTTGGCTCCCTCCAACAATGCTCAAACACATACAGATAAAAAGGAAAAATAACTTATATTTAACTTAATAATAAAATATAATACATAAAATAATGCAAAAGTTGATATCGAGAGATAAAACACAAGTATATAAAATACAATATTTTCTGCGGTATACAGTCATTGCAAAGTGAATGAACTCTAATGTAAACAGGAAAGTAGTAAATGCATAAAGTAATAATAATAAATTAATAAAAAAATGTTTTGAATAAATGTACACATTTATTAATATAATACTGTAAAAAATTCATTACAAAAAATAAAAGAGCAGTTTGAAGCACGTTTTCTTCTCTGCTCTGTGTTGCAGTGGTTTAGTCCGTCACATGTGAGTCTTCCATGATGCTGCAACACTAACGAAGCTCATCCTGATTGAAGTCAATAGGGTTTTGTCATATACCAACACAATGCAGTAGCCATCACTTAATTTAGTCACCATGTCTACAGGTTTGCTCCAGCTAAAGGGAACAAAATGTTCTTTTAGAGCAGCTGGGAGGCTAACAACCGAGGAGCTCTGCATCTGGCTGCATCAAGGAGCTACTGGGGCACCTTAAGAGCCCAGCACCATGACATATACATTTAACCTGGAATATGAGTTCAAATGAACATAAAATAACATGAAATAACTAATCTAGCAGGTATTATATGTGATATTCTGTTCTGTCATACTGCTGTACAATACAATATATTATGAATACCTTACAACTCATACTATAACTAGTATCCCATACTTTATTATAGTTAACCATTTTGTTGTATGTTATAACTATTTGAACACTAGTTTGTGCATCATTTATCACACTACTGTCACTTTTGTCTCTCTTGTTTGCATCGTATACCTATTTTAATGTTTTACACCTCTTATTATAAACAATTTTTATTTTCTCTATTTAACTGTTCTCCTGCCTAACTTATAAAATATGTATTTTGTTTGATTCCCATCCTGTTGAAGCATCCGACCAAAAGGCTCTCTCTACACATCTCAAGGTTGTAAAAAGGGCCCTCATCCTGGGGATTCTGCTTTTGGAGATGTTTCTACTGCATGAACATCTGTTTTAAATAAATCCCAATGTGAACAATGCTTTATTTGCTGCATGTAAAGCCCCTTGGTGCTGCATCTCTGATTCGGGACAAAGGACAGCAGATGGTCCTGAGAAAGAGGTGTGGGGGTGTTTTACAGCTAGCTAGCTAGCTAGCTAGCTAGCTAATTAACTAACTAGTGTGTTAGCTGCAGTAACAAGCTAGCTTACTTGCAATTATAGGATACGAAAGATATGCATCACTTAATTGTTATAGCTAGTTAGTTAATATATTATAGTCTGCATGCACCGCATTACACACACACACCCCCACCCACCCACCCCTTCAGGTCTAGTAGCTAGCCATAAACCTAGCAAATAAAGTTGAAAAATGCTAACCTGAATCTCTGCACCATAATACTGTTTAACCTAACATCAAGGATTAAACTGCACTGCAAGGCTCAGCATCATTACATAACTGAGCCACCGCTAGCTAAATCGCCTAACATGCTATACTAACCTTGGAGAGAACCGTTATCACAGCAGCCATTAGTACCGTTAATTATTACACAGGTATTATACAGCTGAACCCAATGTTTAATATGAATTTGTACTCATTGTATGTCTCCTTACCGTTGTGTGTTTGGAAGGGGGGTTTGCAGAGTTCCCTGGCGTGATGCTGCTGAGTGGATTGACAGCTAGCTTAGTTTGGCAATGGAAATGTCTAAAACCGGGGACAGGGCATAATGAAGGAGACATATAGCGCATGCGCAGTACCAGAGAGAGAGAAGAGCGATCAAAGAGTCAATGTAGAAGCAAGAGTTAAACCCACAGCGCACAGCCTCATCCGAGCAGGTTCACCTGATTGTAAAAAATAAATATTGAATGTGTTTGTGTTTGTGTATTCAAATTAGAAAATGTTCAATTACTATACTTAACTTCAATTTTGAGGGACTTGTACTTTAATTGAGTATTGCACATGTGTGCTACTTTGTACTTCTACCCCCACTACGATTCATGAGGTTAATGGTGTACATTTTTGATACAATAAATATACCTTTAGTTACTTTGCAGATTTGCATTCATATCGTTAAATATACAATACTTAAATAAGACCTACATCTTATACCTGTATTCAATTTCACAAGCTCCCTTGCAGTATACAAAGTCATTAAAACTAGCTGCACCTTTACCAGCTTTGATAACACATTAATGCATCAATAATTATAATCAAAACATATAATATATCATTCTGAAATGGGCCTATTTGAATAATGAGTAATGAGGTAAATGTTGATGCTAAAATTGTTCTACTTTTACTTGAGTAACATTTTGAATGCAGGACTTGTAACAGAGTATTCCTACACTCTGGGTCTTCTACTTTTGCTTAAGTACAAGATCTGAGTACTTCTCCCACCTCTGCTTATTTTTAAATGAACCACTATATTTATGTGTTGTCATGAATCCCTGGGTCATTGGGACAGACCGCAGGGCTCTTTGACCTTGTGGCTGACCATAGGAGGCTGGAACTCTTTACACTTATGAAATATAATATAATCATAAACGTTTTTTGTAAGAGAACAAATCCAATTACATCTGCCAAATAAAGTGGTGAAATAAGAATAAAATAGATTATTTTTGGTAAAAGTAGAAATTAACTGTAAAACAAACTGGCAAGTAAAAGAACTGCATAGAAAAATAATACCATAATATACTTTAGGCCTAAGTGTGCAAAGAGAGAGATCTTGTAATGCGTAATAGCCAGTTTTATTACAATGTATATTTTATTACTTGTTTATTATAACCATGGATGCATTATTTTGTTGCCACTCTTATTTTTGCTGCTTATAAGGGAGGGGATGATTGTAATTACCTTATTCAGGCCTACTGCTGGGTAGCTTTATCTATACTTCCCAATCATAATTCCTGGGTTGATGTGAGTAAAAAGTACAATGTGTTCCACACTGAGGTGTAGTGCAGTAAAAATACATTATCCCTGGTACAGTTCTGAGTGGAAGACCCGGGAAATACTCAAGAAAGTACAAAAACATCATCATTTTGTTAACGTTTGATTTATTAATACTGAGCGATGTAAGTAGTAGGCTACTCAAATAATTCACTTAACTAAAGTACAAAGATGTAAGCATCATAATAACCCCAAATACCAAAAGAAAGACACTCAGAATCATAAATATTACAGGACTATAATTATTCATGAGTTCATGTGTTCATAGTTTCAATGCTACAGCTAGTTAGGGTGAATTTTGTTTGGTTGACCTTTTATAAACTGTAGCTTAATCTATAAATCTTTATTTACAAGAGGATTTTAATGCTGTTTTACCAATCTGAACGCAAACATTGTCCAACTGTTACTTTGTTAGTTTGAAGATAAAAACATGACAGAAAAGGCTATAAATTGATTGCTAGTGCACAGACAACGTGAATGATGTCCTTATATTCAGCTATTGGTTTCTGTACAGGGATAATGTGAGAAACAGCGCCGTCTACAGGGCCATTGTGCCCGGGACAAAGCGCAGCCTCCGGCTCTTCGCAGTGAATCTCTCCGGTCCTCCTTAAATGTTTGTGACAAACATGGCGTTCCTCCGTTTCATGGGGGAAAGTGTCTTTTCGTGCCCCGCCCTGAGTGAACACTGACTCGACGCTATCAACATCTCAGGGCCACGAAGGGAACTTCACTGTTGAAAGTACACAGAGATTATCAACTCTAGATCTGCACCAAAAGTCCAATGGTCAATGTTTGCAACAGGACTCCTGCACACAGCTCCCGACTGCATGAGGGCTTGAAGGCTGCCGAGCGGGTTTGAAGCCACCGATTAAGTCCGCATTTGACACCCAAATACAAAAGTTAGGCCGGGGTATCGCAGTCATAATGTCCGGACAACCTAGATTTGTGAGCCCGTTCTACAGACCTCGGTGCCTGGCTGCTGCAGCTCCGGCGGGGAAAGCCAAACTAACGCACCCCGGGAAGGCTATCATGGCAGGTAAGAAAGTTTCTCCTCACTCCTGAGCTCCGGAGTTGTTTACAAGTTTGCGCAATGAACGTGTGTGTGCAGATCTGATCAGAGGCTCTGCTGGAGCTATGTTTACTACTCTTGCACTTATTTTAAGTGCAAATAACAGGTGCATTGTGCGTTAAAGGCAGAAACGTATGGTGAAAAACAACAAAAAGTATATTTTTATGGTTAATATTGCACCACTAGAGTCATGGTTAAACTTACATCAGCCTCTGGAGTGGACACATCAGCATTACTTGTTGTTACTGGTCTTAATGGCTGGAGGTTGGACAGTTCTCAATGTCCTAGGACCTTTAAATGCTCACCATATCATGTTGAAAGAAACCTGACTTTTAATTCATGTTTTTGATTAGTCACTACCAAGTTATCAGCTGCTATTCCTGGGGTCCACACAATGAACTCCGATTGACTGTCAATCAGTGACATATGTTCAAACGTTAGTGTGCTACAGGGCAATCATTATTGATGTCATTGCAACATCAATAGGTTGTAAATAAGCTGACAGACACACTCCTGCTGAATCCATCATCCTATAAGTTCTAAAGAGCATTTGTTTGCTCATGTAACTGTACCTGACTGTCAGCAGTATGGTGGCTGTTTTCTGTTGAACTACTGGCCTTTTACTGTGTGCTCAGAGGCCTCTGGGTCCACATGTTCAGATTCATGACCCACGATGACAAAGCACATTTCTCTGTCAGTCGCTGCACACATTCACCTGGTTACAACAGGCCTGTCACACGCTGTGCTGTGGGCTTCAGCAGAGAGGCGTGAAAGGTCAAGACATGGCCACGTCCGCCTGCCAAGAAGCTGCTGTCCAGTTTTTTTTGTTAGATAACATCATAAGCCGCCTATGGTAATGTGTATTATCAGTCAGTTGTGGAATGTGCATATATTCAAGTACGGTACTATATTGAGGTAATTGTACTTATCTTATCTTATCTTATGATTCTTTGTAATCTACATTTCAGAGGCCATATTGTAATTTCAAACTTCATTTATTAAGCACTAACCATCATAAACTATAGTATATCAAGTAATTTAATAAGCTTAACTTAAACCAGCTACACCATTAGAGTGACAAACACATACTCTATGCATCTATCATTACAATGCAGTAACTATTTGAAAATGGACCTTTCTCCATAATGATTACCTTTACTTTTGGTTATTAAAAAAATATTTGTATGGTGATACTTTGCAATTTTACTTGAGTTAAGATGTGTTAAGCAGACCTTTCCCTTGTAACAGAGATCTGAGTACTTATTGAACCACTGTCTAAGCATAAATGTAATGCCAGCACAAAATCAGGGATGAATAGGCCCAAATCAGCAAGTCACAAGAGAATAATTAGCTCACATGCCAAGGCTTTACAAAAGCACTAATCCCCACTTAAACAGACAGCATCTTTTTTTTAACACTGTGTAAACTGTGGCTTAAACACAATTGACATTTGTATGTTTTATTTTATATTTGTCGGACACATAAACATGATTCTTTATGCTAAGATAAGCAAATCAACTCATGTGTGTAGCTTCATAATAAATGAAAAAATGTGAGTATGGGGAAAAAACAAAATGTCCTAAAATGTTAAAGTATTCCTTCAGTTGAATTATGAGTAACTTTCACACAAATCTTATCTAATCCATGACAATTAGCATGACTTCCTATCCTGTGATAACTATAATCATACACCACTCTAGCCTCATTATCAGCACATCAAATAGCATGTATTACACAGTAATCATGAGTTCTGTCTTGAATGTTGAATCGGTAAATTGAGTCCTGACCATAGGTCCTGACTAGAAAACTAAAGGATACTTAGTGCAAGTGTTGCCAGTATCTTAAAATAGAAGTAGTATATGTGGACATCTGCCTGCACTGACTTTTAATATACCTGTTTAACTATCTGTACACCTCCGACTCGATAAACTGGTTCCATATCTTTTTCCAGCTTGAATACTGGGACAAAATGCAGGTACAACATGCAAGCTGTTTGTAGATGGTGATGTTGTGCACTTTTTTCTGGTGTAATGTGTAGGTACAACTACAGCTCTAAAGCCAAACATCTCTAACCAAAGGAATGCTTAACTGAGTCTGTAGCCAAAATACACTTCATGTTTTAGAGGAAAACTGTTATCTTGTGATTGCACAAGTAGTGTTTTGTTTCTCGCTGCATGACATTTTGGGAGAACTAATGCATGGTAAAGCATCAACAAAGGATCCTTTTTTAAATGTGTGAGGAGGATTTCAAGCTTGTTTAAAAGTGAATCATGTGCCATCTACTTTACTAAACAGTAAGGGTTTTATTTCTGATTCAGCCTTCAGTTTCTCTACCTCTCTTCTGCAAAATGATGGTGTTTTTTTGTTTTTAATAGTTACTTTAAGCAAGGCCTTTGTGAGCCTTTTGAATAGAATAGTTTAGGTTAGTAAAAACAGGGATATTAGTAGGATATCTTTCCTTCATTTAACTTCATGGAAACTTGTCACTCCTAGTCCTAAGCTTTTAGTAGGAATCAGACCACTATCAAGCGGCTGCTCTGTGTGAGGGGTTAACACAGTGTTTGCTCTGAAGGCTACACAGTACACACCCCCATGGTTGGAGTCAGGCCAGGGGGAAGTGTCTGTAGGAGGCGTGCTCTGAGATCAGCTGAGCCAATCAGCTGCAGGCTGCATGTTAGCTGCTGAACGGCAGATGTGTGGTGACAGCCAGCATTTAAGGTGGAGCTGCTTCATACTGTACACGGTTCAAGGCTCACATGCATGAAACATCCATAGACACTGTAAACTACCTTTGATAATTACTAATGTTTACCCAGCTAACAACTTTTATTAAAACAAATCCCACAAACTTGTCTTGCCTTTAGTAGTAATTTTATTTATTTCTATAAGTTCTACTAATTTGGTGCATCTGTTTTTATTTGTAACTTTGAGTTCATTGTGAAGCATGTTGTTTTGCATCTTAGTGTTTATAAAGTAGTGTATAAATAAATTTATTTCATTATTATCATTATAGATCATGACAAATTGTGTGGAAGTACCTTAAATGTTAAATGGTGTGATTTGTTATGGGCTGTTAAAACCAAACCTGTGGTCTGTGAAACGAAAAAGTATTTGACTTTTATTTTCAATATCTTCATTATATAGTCAAGGTGATTGCTGTATTGCTTAAATGCACTTGTGTGGTGTTGACATAAAAACTGTTAATGTTTTTCAAATCTTAAAATGAGTCCATGCTTAAAGTTGTGTTTTTACTGTTATTTCAGGTGGGATAGCAGGAGGCATAGAGATCTGCATCACCTTCCCCACGGAGTATGTTAAAACACAGCTTCAGCTCGACGAGAAGGCCAATCCTCCCAAATACAGAGGCATCTGTGAGTTCTTTTCCACCGTCTGAAATGAGCCTTTCATTTTCAATTCATTGCTATAATCACATGTGATGATAATGCTACCTCACTCTGTGGGCACTATTACTTGCACCTGTAAACCTTAATAACAAAAATATACCGTAGTTAATAAAGACTGCATTACATTTTACAGGTGTACCTAATAAAGTGGCCTTTTCTGTACATGATACAATATATTCCACTAAACCAAACAATCTACATTAAAATAACCGGTCCAACAGCAAGTTCTCAGTGTTCTTTTGATGAAGTTAAGACATCTTGTTTTTCCAGATTTTAGAGCAAACTACAACGCACAGATGTGTATTTGCGTAGTAAGTTAGTGTTTGTTATCTGTTAGAGGAGAGCTTGTGAACTTTGGCATAGACAATGTTTGTCTGTAATAACTCAGTATGAAGGACTGTTGTTCCAGGCTGCAACCAACCAGGACCCAGAAACTCAATATGCTTGTCTTTAAACTACTTTACTGTTACAGTGAGATACTCCAAACAAAGCAGCTGCTGATCAAGAGATAGCTTTTCTTGGCAGTAGGGTTTACATTTAGGAAAGTGGTGCAACAAATGATTGTTTAGTAGGCTGCTCTCTTTTTCCTCCTCTCCTACAGCTGACTGTGTGAAGCAGACAGTGAACGGTCATGGGGTGAGGGGTCTGTACAGAGGTCTAAGCTCTCTGCTGTACGGCTCTATACCTAAAGCAGCTGTCAGGTACCTTATGCACACGCACGCACGCACGCACGCACGCACACACACACACACACACACACACACACACACACACACACACATTAATGTACAACAGCTTAATTCCAATAAACCTCCATAACACGTTCCACCAGCTTCCCAGATGAGAGGATTTGCTGTTTTTCTCTGTTTCATATCATTGTGTTGCACTTTTCTTTTCCTTAAACATGGGATGTTTTGGTGTTGTTGTTTTTTGTTGTTTTGTTTCTTTCCGTTAACGTCAAGTGAGAAATAAGTATTTTTTTGTGTTTCTCTTAGTATCCTAAGATACTGTTAAGTTTGGCTGTGAAAAAAAATTATTATGAAGGGCAGACCATCTATTTGTATTTATTTTGTTTTTTTTAGAAAGGGGCAGGTCACATAAGATTTTATTCTTCTCCCTGCTCCTTTTCGCTTAATGGTGTTTTGGTAGAGTCATGTTTTGTTGGCAATTATTGTACATTTGGTTTTGCGTACCATGAGCGGGACAACTAAAAATGAAATGAAATTGTGAAGTGAATATCTGTGGGCAATTTCAAAAAGGGCTATTCATTTGAACAGATCCATCAAAAGAACAAACATAATAATGATCATTGTTCATTGCAAATAAATGATTATTTGTATCTACTGGTTTTATTATGTACCACCAATGTTTGTATACATTTTTAAGTCAATTATTGTTCTGCAGATTATTCTCTCAATAATCAATTAATTATTTGAGCTATAAAACTACAGGTGACATCCTCAGACTGACTGATTTGTCCAAACAAAATGACTGTTATTAATGGTTTAGCAAGGCCACTGCAAGCCACGTAGACAAGTAACTCATATTCTTTTCCTTTGGCCGCAGGTTTGGAGTGTTTGAATTCATCAGTAATAAGATGCGCGACGAAAATGGGAAACTCAGCAGCATACAAGGTTTACTCTGCGGCCTCGGGGCCGGAGTAGCTGAGGCTGTGGTCGTAGTCTGTCCTATGGAGACAGTAAAGGTAAAAAATAAATAAATAAAAAAACATAATTAGTCCTGTATTAATTCATTATTTAGCCACTGGGGGCAGCATTAACAGTTTTTAAAACGGCACTGAATCCATCAACCTTGCAGAACCATTCTTCCTATTTAAGTGCTGCACTGTAAAGTTTCTGTTTTGATTATTTTATTTTACACTTTGGCTTGAAAAATATATTTATCATTGTTATGATGTCATTTAAGGTCAAATTCATCCATGATCAGTCATCAGCAAACCCAAAGTACAAGGGATTTTACCACGGAGTGAGGGAGATTATCAGAGTTGAAGGTATGGAAGGTTTCTTCATCTTTAGTGCCACCTGCTGTTCTATCTCATAATGATATCGCCATGCAATAACCTGTTATTGAGGTTACATTTCTTTCTCTGCCTCATTAGCCCTGAACTGGATGGCTGTGAGAGTTTTGCTTTTGATGAAGTTCTGATGATGCTGATGTTTCTATCTGCAGGTCTCAAGGGGACTTACCAAGGCCTCACAGCCACCGTGTTGAAGCAAGGCTCCAACCAGGCCATCCGCTTCTATGTCATGACTTCCCTGAGGAACTGGTACAAAGGTGTGTGATAGAGAATAACTTCCACTTCTTTTATATCCGCTTTGTTTTGTTATAAACAGCCCAAACATTTCCGTTTTTTTGTTTTTGTTTTGTGAAACACGAAGGTGATGACCCCGACAAGGCCATTAACCCTCTGATAACTGGTATGTTTGGAGCTGTGGCTGGTGCTGTGAGTGTGTTTGGAAACACTCCACTGGATGTCATTAAGACCAGAATGCAGGTTGGTTGATTATCATGGTCTCCTCCAAAGAAAAACATATATTCATTAAACCCTGAGCAGATTGACTAACATGTACAACTCTTATTTATCAGGGTCTCGAAGCAAAAAAGTACAAAAGCACACTGGACTGTGCCGTCAAGATCATGAAGTACGAGGGACCAAAGGCGTAAGTTTATAGAGAGAGTTGATTTTATATTTATAGAGAATGAGTGGCAATAGAAAGACTTTGCATATTTTGTATAAGTTGTCTTTTATGGAGGGTAAGACATCATATCTTTAAAGGATTCACACTCTTTTCACATCAATTATTCAGCAATCATTTTGATTATCAACATGTCAGCTACTGCCTAGCTCTATCTCAAGGTTAAAAAATTATAGTAATTTATCATGGTCCTTATTAACACAATTTTGAAAAGATAATGCACATAAAAAAACACATTTTAAAGACATAGAACTATTTTTGGGCTTTTCCAACACTGAAATCACTAAATGATAAAGATATTATTATTATTATTATTATTATTATTATTGGGGAAGCATTTTTTCTAGAAGGGCGACTTGGTTCCAGTGATAAGGCATTTTTGTAAGTGTAGTAGTAAATGTATTTAAAACATTTTAGATGCATTTTTGAATGCCCTAAAGTACGATATTCACTCTGTCCTTGTGTGCCCTTCAGGTTCTACAAAGGTACTGTTCCCCGGCTGGGTCGGGTGTGCATGGACGTGGCCATAGTCTTTATTATTTACGAGGAAGTCGTGAAGGTCCTGAACAATGTTTGGAAGACGGACTAAGATGGACCCCTACCGGTGCTACACAACAAGCAGGAGTGTTACGACAGGCCATTCATATTATTAACCAGGCCAAGTCCCAAACCAATCTCCTTAAACCCTGCTTATAGGTTCTAATATCTACCTCTTAGTGATTTTCAGAGAGAAAGAAAGGGATTGGTATGTTCTTGGATTTATTTATGACAAAGCTACTAAAAGCGTAAGCATTTTCTGCATGAAGAAAGCTCCAGACTGCAGAGTCAGTGCTTACACTTGGTTTTATTCCTTAAATTCCAGAGGGGGGCAGTTCCTTCAGATCTCAGGGAAAGGAACAGGGGCAGGCATTTAGATCTGATTGACTTGAGCAATGGGAAAGCTGTCAGCACAAACAACTACAGCGCTTTGAGTTCACTTATGCTAACGATGTATGCACTTAGTCAAAGAGAAACCAATTGCCAACCGAACAAAATGTGATTTAGAAAACTGTAGATTAAAACGTTTTACTTGAAATGAGAGATTATAACAGATGCAAACATTTAAAGCCCTCTTTAAAAGAAACTATTTAGACTTTTTTTTTACAAGACTTTCAAAACCAGTATTTAATTCAGTGTCTGAACAAATCATTTATATTCAGATGTCATGCTGCAGAGGCATCAGGTACGTTAAGAACTAAATGCCTTAAATTATAATTGTCAGATTAATCAAGCTCGTGGGATCCATAGATGCAGTTTTTTTTTAAATATGTTGCATGTACAGTAGACAACTTCAGTAGTAATGCACATTTCCACATAATAGTGATTGATGAAAAGAGGGTTCTTTTAAGTTGCCGAGATGTCTTTAATCAACTAACTAAGTAGATCGATGCTATAAAAAGTGCCTATGCATTATATGATTCATTTTAAGATCTTTTGAGATTAAGAATGATTGAATGTTGTATGTACTTAAGAAACGACAGATTTTTAATAATGTGCTGCGATGTTTAATTCCAGTCTGTTTCTGAGGTATTCCTGAGATGTTCATATCTTCTAAATTCATCCTGTGTTTTGAGGTATATTTCCTTTGATTGCATAGACAGTTTGAGAAGTGCCATTAATAGTGCCTTCCATCTCATTCCAGGGAGTGCTATAGATTTTATTGCAGATTACGTTTTTAATGTCTAACTTTATTAATTGCCTTTACATTTTTTCACCAATTGATGACCCAATGTGCCAACTGCTGCTCTTATACAATATATATAAGAAGTCACCTAAAGACTGGAGTAGCTTGTTTACATGCAATGCTAATAATTGTTTTTACAAATGTTTACTTTGAGCTATATTTTTCAGCTCCAGCTTGCATACATGTAGACATCATGCCATAGCTATTTAAATATCTTTGGAGTTTTCATATTTAGACATGAAACACATCCACATCCAGTAGTTAAAACCAAGTATTGTGCCTTCAGTCTAATTCATTCTACTGTAACATGTATGCACACAAATAAACATTGGATCAGACGGTTCATTTTGTCGTGTTCATTTCATTCTGGTTATCTTATCATGATTTACAGAATTTATTCCTAGCAGGGGTGGAACATGTACTCAGATATTTAACTTAAGGAGTAGCAATACTACAGTGTAAAAAGACTGTTACAAATATATAAATAAAATCCCATCATTTAAAATCCTACCAAAATACAAGAACAAATACTACTCAAAAAACAATACTATATTAGCAATAATACTCTATTTTAGAATAATGTAGATTTAGTTTAATGGAACTGTATTTTTTACTGTAAATCTTATATTTTTGATTATGCTTGAAAGCGATTTAAATGACCCAGCGTATGAAATGTTGTTCAAATAAAGCTGCTTTGCCTTGCCTAATGTTGCAGCTGGTAAAGGTGGAGCTCATTTTAAGTCCTTCACAGATTTTAAGGTAGCTTAATCTAATAATAAATTTAAATGTATTTCTTGATTATGTGTTGTATTTATAATATCGATCTGTTTAAGAAAAGTTTTAAAATTAATGTAATGGTGTAAAAGGTACACTATTTGCCTCTGAAATGTAGTGAAGGAGAAATATGAAGTAACTTAAAATAGAAATACCTAGTTGAAATTATTAGTCACTACAAATTACCTTTAGGTATTTGTGTCCAGTAAATGTAGCATAATACTTTAATTGTCACTGTTTTTCTTCTCTTAGCCATGCTCTCCATCACTAGCTCCTTGTATGTTTCCTCTGTGACCTTGCTTTGCGCTTTTTAGTACCTTGCGCTTGCCGTAGTTGTCAGTGCAGCGTTCTCCTCCTTGAATCGGACGAATGAAAGAAGATGTTTGTTTTCATGTGGCGGCGGTATTAAGGCATCTTTAAACATGGCTCTCAATGGAGGGGGAAGCAGAGGATTTTACTTCAACACCGTCTTGTCTTTGGCTCGGTCGTTGGCAGCTCACAGGCAGGCCCCGCTAGAAAAGGTAACGTTATACGTGGCCCGGTAGCTAACGACAGTTTCAAGCTAATACCTGTCAAGAGTCTTTGACATTAAAGGCCTGCTCTTAACTTCGCTTCTCTAATGGGGTTATGTGATTTTTGATTTAAAAACCACAGTTAACATGTCTAGCAGTTCCCTAGTGTATGTATTACGTTGCCATTTTCTGATTTAAGACGACACAGTAGCACTTATAACTGACTTCAGAGGTGGCTAACGTCGGCTAACTGTTAGCTGTTTTGAACCTTTAGCTAATCTTCTCTTAGGTTTAAGACTTGATGTGTACGATCCTTAACAGGAAGGAAAGCTCACATTTCCATAAGGTGTACACTTATTCCTTTGTAATTATATGTAATAGTTCATATTCATTAAGCTGTCAACACAAGTTGTATAACACAGATCTTCATAATGTTTTTATTCTTTCTGCATAACATCAAGAAACTAGTAATCCATTAGAAAATGACTTGAAAGACCAATTCATTACTAAATAAAAGATAGATAAAGTTAAAATGTTTGTAAGGAGGTTATTGGATCACATGTAATTGTATTGTATGTCATGCACAGAGTTAAGATACTAATATAACAAAGTGTCATTAAAACAGTAATGTATAGAAACAAATAAATGTGTCTTAGGATAGCGTGGTTTCACTATTTTCTAATGCCAAACTGTCAAATTACTTATCATCAAAATGATGAGATTATTCCATGTTGGAAAAAACAAGTATGAATCTAATATTCGATTTTAGGCTGAGTGTAATTTTCATTACTATTTTGAGTCTAGAAACATACTGTCATTCAGTATGGTGTCCAATATTACTTATTGTAAAACCAAATAATTCAGTTGTAGTGATGTCCTTAGGTTCAAAAGCAACAGCAGTGTTTACTTCAGGTGTCAAAAACATTTTTTGTCCCCAAACAAAGAAGCAATCAGTGCTAAAGTATTGCTTATCGCTATAGGGTGAATCAATGTATCCATTAAACTAATTGCAGCATTTTCGCGTGACAAAGTGAAGCAGTCAATGTGCTTTCACTGAAGCAATCAATAGTAGATGAGAAGAGTTCTAATCAGAGGACCACCAATCAGACAGCTGCCCTGGGGAACCACAAGTCCCAGAACACTGTGTGTCACTTTCTTTTTGGTAATTTAAGTACTTTCATATTGGTCTGGGAATGTCAACATTAATGTACAATATCAACCTTTTCCTGCATTTCTATGTAAACTTAAATAAACATGAAATAAAATAATGCTGTGATCTCTAGCGACAGCAGAGACCCCACCCAAACAGGTTCATCTGGCAATGACAAAGAGGAAGTATCACCTCTATATTACTGTCATCATTTAAAGACATAAAGGAAGATGTATTATGAAGTCATGACATGCAGACTAAGGAATCACAAAAGGGAGGCAACCAACTTGAAGTCCCACCCAGAAGATGTAATCATTTCTTCTCACAACATATTTTAGATGAAGGGTTTTAAAGTAAATTAGATTTATTTCTGTGTATTGGAAGTACTGTTGAAACTCAAGTTATTTGGAATAATAGGGCAACTATGTAACTCAGTCAGGCGGTTAGGATTTGTATTCAGGGATTATGATGAGCCTGGGAAATATTTCACAACAAAAGAGCAGACAGGAATTGGAGTGATTTGACCACACACCCACTGAGATTTAAAATGGGGAAATGTTTTGAGCTAAAGAGGAAGTCTATCTTCTAATGAAAGAGCTGTGGTAGCAGTAATACAGTGAGCAGGCAGTTTAGTGAATTATTGGGAAAGTGGACTTTGCCTTTCTGATTTTTCTGTCTATGTAAGGTCTTTTGAAATGTGCTTGTTCTAGTGGTCTGCAGAAGCACACTTGCAGGAGTAGTTTAAAGCATCCACCATTAATCAGACTTACAGTATGTTTTGCTGCAATAATAATTTTGATAGTTGATTTAAAATACATTTTTATTTGCCATAAATCACTCATGGGTTTATTCTATAATATATTAGAAAAGCGTAAAAGTTAATAATTACCCAGAATCTAAAGAGACTGCTTGTTTTTCTAGTCTAAATCCTCCCAAAAGTTTATTTAACTATCAAATATGACAATTAATTGAAGCAAATCCTTAATTTGTCTTAACTTAGTTCATATATTGACTGTTTGAGTTCAATGCTTGTGTGGAATGTAAAGTTTCTGAATGTTATAAGTGGTAAACCGCAGGGGTCTGCTTCAGCACATAGACCAGATTGTCTGAACAATACCCTTCTTTCAGTGGGTGCGAGAATGCCCTTTGGTACTTTAAGAACATGTTGTATTTGACTATACACTACTTACATTAAGCACAGTTTCCCTGGCTCAGTGAAGATCTTAGCTGCTGTCAAAACACATAGCATTTTATTACTGTTTTAGGACTGAAAAACAACCGTTTTGAGATTTAGCTTTTGAGTCAAATGTAAATTCTCCACAAATGTTCTTCATCTTTTAACAGCATTAATTAAATATACTCTACATTGCATACTGAATAAAACATTCAAGACCTAGAGATCCTATTCTGTATTTGAAGGTTTATAAATCCCTCATAGCTTCAGCCCTTTGGCATTAGGTTAATTAATGCCAGAGGCAGACTTGGCTCAGTTCCTGCTGCATATTCAGGGAATCAAAATCATTATCACTAATGGCACCTAGCAGTGTGCAATTCATTAAGCTGAGATAAATGATGCACTGCAATTTTCAAAGAATGTGTTGTCCATAGCTGATGCTTACAGCTCATTTGAATAATTGTAATGTATTCCTCTCACAGGTACAGAAGCTACAATGCATGTGCCCCACAGACTACAGAGGAGTCTTCCAGCTGGATGAGAGGAGGAGAGATGCTGTCATTGCTCTGGGCATCTTTCTGGTTGAGTCAAACCTGCAGGTAAACCTAGTTCCTACTTACCTCTCTACTTCTGTATTGGTGTCCTAGTATCTCTGTATAACTTCCTATGCAATACTTCTGTTGCAGCACAAAGATGCTATTGTCCCCTACCTTCTTGGGTTGCTTAAAGGGCTTCCTAAAGTTCAGTGGATTGAAGAGAGCTCAGAGCGCAAAGGAAGGGGTAACGATACACCTCTGATTTTGCAACATTATTAAATATAAAGCACATAAGGTTCACTTTAATTGTGTTTTATTCAATATACTTGAGATATGGATGACTGAATACAATTTAAGGGCGTTGTTTTTTTAAATATTTGGTGCACTTCCTGTCTTGCAGAGACCCTTCCTGTCGCGGAGAACTTCACCTTTGGTCTGGTAACACTACTGTCAGATGTTGCCCAACGTGATGAAACCTTACGAGGACAGGTGTGTGGATATGTCTGTCTATCTGGGAGCAATACTTGTGTTCATCCCTCCAAAGAACGGGCCAAATCGTGTGTGTGTGTGTGTGTGTGTGTGTGTGTGTGTGTGTGTGTGTGTGTGTGTGTGTGTGTGTGTGTGTGTGTGTGTGTGTGTGTTTCTTTCTTGTTTCTTGAGTTCAACCATTCTTCTTTGTGTAACTCTCCTTTACGGCAGCCACCAAGGATAGACTCTCTTTGGGACATAGAGGAAAACATTTTGTAACAAAAGAGCTTTCTGCTGAGCCTAATATTGGTTTTGTCAAAAAAAAAAATTTCAATATTGACATCGAAAACTTTAAATGTTGATATGCATGGTTGAGGCAGAGTATATGATATCTTTGTATCATCTTTGACAGATCCTGGAGGCGATCATGGACATCATGCAGATCCTGCAAGATATCTGCAAGAATCCAGAAGTCCACGATAAAGGTGCCACACATCCTGCCTTCTTTGTATTCTACTTATCATTACTAATGTTCTAACCTCCATGACTCTTTTCTGTACAGAATACCTGTGCAGGTACACTGTGCCCACCCTGCTGGGTGTTGCTCGAGCATTTGGCCGCTACAGCAACACTGATGAGCCGTTACTGTCCAAGCTGTTCCCCCGACCGGTTGCTCCTCTCCCGGCTACGGCGGATGAAAGTGATGCACCGCACCGGCGCTCCTTCAATGACTTCCGCTCCATCATGCCGAGCTCTTTACTGTCGGTGTGTCAGGGAGACACTCTGAGGCGCAAAGGCTCCAGTCAGCAGGTAGAAATCATTTGGAAAAAGTAAAGGAACAAACTTAACCGAACCCCTAAAAAGCTATATGTTTTCCAATTATGGTGTCAGAATATACCAAATTCATGATGACCATATTATTTAAAAAATTGAATTTTCATATATTGATAAAAATACACATATGACAATACCCTTGTGGCAGATGTTAGGCTGTTGGATGGTTTTGTTTATTGGTTCATCTGAATGCCTATTCACTATCCGTTAGTGTATTTGAACATTTCTGAAAATCAAGACTTTCTCGTCCTCCTTCTAATTAAATGTATATGCAATTTATATGCAAATAAATTAACAAAACATACAATGAACAACGTTAAAAATAAATATGGCTCAAAGGATTTTATTTCCTCAAAAGTTCTAAAGATAAAACAATATTATAATTATGTAAAATGTTTAGGCCAAGATAATTACATACTGTTTTTTGTGTGTTTTCAGGCCAGTCCAGAGAGAGCCTGTCTGACCCCCATCTCCCCCTCTGACCCCTCCGCACAGTACTTTGAAGGTCAGTACCTGAGCAGAAGTGTTTGAGGCCGTTGGGCTTTCAGGAACCATCAGTGACTCTCTGAGGAAGCTGTTTAAAAAACTTCTGCTTCCCTCTTCAGGTTCATACCTCCCTGATGGCAGCGCAGTGGACCCTGACTACTACTTCTCCACCATCAGCTCCAGCTTCTCCGTCTCCCCTCTTTTCACTGGAAGCAGCTCCGGAGAGTTTCATGTCCCTCTGGATATGCTCAAACAGACCCTTCACATGGTTAGCAGCAGAAAATATGCAATTGATTCAAATAAAATTCAGTCCCAAGTAATGTATAAAAAGTGGAATTTCATTAACTTGTCTCTCTCTATAATAGGTTGAACATTTTGTCTCTGAGACATTTTTAAAAACACTGGATGACGCCTTGGCAGAAGTTATAGAGGTATGATTCTTAAATCACTTGTACTTGTGTACTTATTGTTTTCTTGATACATTTGGTTCATTAATACATTTCTGCTCATTTCTTGGCAGTTGAATCCCGGCTTTCATCTGTACTACAAAACCTTCAGTGATCCTCTGTATGTAGCCATTTTCAAAATGCTAAGAGACACGCTTTACAATTTAAAAGGTAAAGAATCCAGTTTTTTTACTCTTTTTCAAACGTTTTGAACATTTAGCGACATATTTCTCATTTTTAAATGGGTCCATCGGCAATCATGTTTTATTGGTTGTGTTCCCAGACCTACAGACAGACTATGTGAAGGAGGTTCATGACTTTGTGCTGGAGCAGTTCAGCAGCAGCCAGTCGGAGCTGCAGAGGATCCTGCATGATGTTGAGTATCTCCAGAGTGAACTGAGCCCTCTCAAACTGCGCTGCCAGGCCAACGCTGCCTGTGTGGACCTCATGGTGTGGGCAGTGACTGAAGAGCAAGGTCAAATATCTCCTTTTCAGACCGAATGTAACTGTCAAGGAAGTCATTTCAGCAATTTTCATCTGTTTTCTGTCTATATATTTCATATCAATAGGAGCTGAGAACCTTTGCACCAAACTATCAGAGAAGCTGCAGTCCAAGACGTCGAGCAAAGTCATCATCGCTCACATGCCACTCCTCATCTGCTGCTTACAGGTAACCATTAACTGCTTGTTAAACAAAAAGGTTTCTGTCATTCTAATCTAGTCTTGGTTATTATTACACATCCTGTATCCATGGATCACACATTGCATGATATATCACCAGATCTTCACTTTTACAGTTTATACAGTAGCTTTAGTTAGCTACACAACCTTTTTTAACATATGGCAGTAATTGGGTGTAAATGTAAAGAAACAAGTAATCTACATGTTAGCCGTTTTAAATATTGGGTAAAACTAAGCTTTAAAAGTTCAAAATTACAAAATGTTGCTGCAACCTTCTCCAGGTATATCGTTTTTCTCAAAGCCTGGATGCAGTAGAACCATAGTTGTTCATTCGTTCACAAATTGACACAAATGTCTGTGTCTTCAGGGCCTGGGTCGTCTGTGTGAGCGCTTTCCGGTGGTGGCCCACTCTGTCACCATGTCCCTGAGAGACTTCTTGGTGGTACCCTCTCCTGTCCTGGTGAAGCTGTACAAATACCACACCCAGTGCGCTCAAGGTAACACAATACACTCACAGCTCCACCAATCACTTGCAGTATTATCTCCATTGCAACGTTTACTCACCAAATCCTAAACAATTTGAAGGGACTGGTGAGATAAAGATCCATGTGACCAACGAACATTCCCAGTCAACCCTCAGTACAAATTCGAGCAAGAAGAGCCAGCCCTCCATGTACGAGCAGCTACGGGATATCTCCATCGATAACATCTGCAGGTGAATTCACTCCCACACACTTGTACAGCATATACATACACACACACACTGGTATCCACACACATGTTACCTATCTCTCTCTCTCTCTGTCCTCAGGTGCCTGAAAGCCGGACTCACTATGGATAATGTCATCGTAGAAGCTTTTCTCGCCAGCCTGTCTAACCGTCTCTACATCTATCAGGAGAATGATAAGTAAGTCATATCATACTGACTTTGAAGAGGATGAAAAGCCTTCCTTTTGAGAGTGTATTTACAGATGTTCCCCTCCCTTCCTCAGGGATGCTCACCTGATCCCAGACCACACCATCAGGGCTCTGGGTCACATCGCTGTGGCTTTACGGGACACCCCCAGAGTAATGGAGCCCATCCTCCAGATCCTGCAGCAGAAGTTCTGTCAGCCTCCCTCACAGCTCGACGTCCTCATCGTAGACCAGCTAGGCTGCATGGTCATCACTGGCAATGTAAGGAGTTATTTCTTTATTAATTATTTTAAAACAGACCTTACCCTGAAGATAAAACATCGATATAGCTAACAGCTGATTCTATACCTTTTTAACGTTAAATGTTTCTAACCTCATAACTTGATTTTTTTCCATCTTAGCAATACATCTACCAGGAAGTGTGGAATCTGTTCCAGCAGATCAGTGTGAAAGCCAGCTCCATGGTTTACTCTAACAAAGACTACAAGGACCATGGATACAGGTGACCTCAAATCTCAACTGACACAATTGTTATCCTTCTGATTACATAAGCAAGTGATGCACAAGTGGGAGAATATTGTAATCCTCATAGTTGAGTATTAATCACATTTGTTGAGATTCTTGTAAGTGAATGTTGCTGTGTGCACACAGTAAAGTAGCTGCTGCAGCAGAGGCAACTGTTTTTCAATATTTTACTTCTGGGAAAAGCAGCACTGTTTCATTAGAGAGAAAGAAACTCGGTAAAAAGTGGAACTGAAGTTATTGACAGAACGTTAATCTGCAAATTATTCGAAAATGTATTGTTTTCTAGCAAAAACACAAGACATTGTCTACTTTTTTTCAATTTTGATGATTTGACACTTATATATATATCTATTCTAACCAATACTAAAATGTGGTTTGTATAAAGTAGGGGAATGTAAAGTGGGAGAATATTCTCATCCTCATATAGTCGAGCATTATTCACAGTTTGTCATGAAAGTCTAGTAAATGTCATGTTCCTTTTCTTGTTTGCAGACACTGTTCCTTGGCTGTGATAAACGCTCTGGGTAACATAGCAGCGAACCTGCAGGCGGAGCAGATGGTGGACGAGCTTCTTGTCAACCTACTGGAGCTCTTTGTCCAACTGGGCTTAGAGGGGAAGAGAGCCAGCGAGAGAGCGCCAGACAAAGGCCCGGCTCTGAAGGTAGAGCACACACACATCTACACACACCGCAGCAATGAGACTGCAGTGTTGGCTCAGGGCGGTAAAAGTCCAGGAGAAAAGATGATCTTAACATAACCTTTGCAGCCGGTCGAGAGCATGTCAACATTTATTCCAGCTAGAACATTACCAATACATTTCCAAAATTAAATTATTGGTTTTTAAGGGTTTAATGAGCCAACCATTAACATCAGCATCTCTGGTTCGCCTCCAGCTGGGGACCTTTTGTTGCACGCCATTTCCTGTCAAGTCTCTGCCGTCAACTATCAATAAAGTGATCAACTGAACAAGAATATAAACAATGATTTAACTGCCATGATGAACGAGGCAATTACATCATCTCATCTTTATATATGAATAGCGACATTTATTATAAAGACAGAGATTGCAGGGAGAGAAGTATGATTGCATGCCCCTTGAGGCTTGTGTAAACTATGCATGCTTTTGTTGTAGAAAGTACTTTTAGTAGAATCATACTGACACTTAGATTCCTTCCTTTTCTCTTTAGGCATCAAGCAGTGCTGGAAACCTTGGTGTCTTGGTTCCAGTTATTGCAGTGGTAAGTGTTCTGGATAAAATGTCCAAAATGCTGAGCTTTAATCACACTGTTTTATTAACCATGTTACTACATATTCCCTTTTTAAGTTGAATTGGATCCTTCCCCCTTTGCTGCATGTAGTCCCCCCTATTTCCGCTTAATCTGTTACTATCAATGAAGGCAAAAAGCCCCAAAAAAGTCAACTTGTTCCACTTTTTTTGTAACTTATATAATACCCTACCAGCAATGCTCTTCAGCTTTGAATATACTGTACCTTAACAACCGCTCAGATCCATTCTCTCTCTTCCTCTGCTGTTAGCTGACTAAGAGGTTGCAACCAATTAAAGAAGCAAAGCCGCGTCTGCAGAAGCTCTTCAGGGACTTCTGGCTCTACTCTGTTGTCATGGGATTTGCTGTTGAGGGCTCAGGTACAATAAAATACATTATACACATTAATAATAATCTACTATATCTTACTTCAGCATCACGTGTTGCTTCTGTTGAAATCTTCAGGTCTGTGGCCGGAGGAATGGTATGAGGGAGTTTGTGAGATTGCAACCAAATCACCGCTGCTCACTTTTCCAAGCGGGGAACCTTTACGCTCAGAGCTCCAGTACAACTCTGCACTGAAGAATGACACTGTCACTCCGGTATGAGAGCACAATCATGCACAGATATGCTCACACATCATATCACACAAGTGCTCATACGTTTGTGGTCGGTTGTTGTTTTTCAGGCGGAACTGAATGATCTGCGGAGCACCATCATCAACCTGCTGGATCCTCCTCCTGAGGTTTCTGCTCTCATCAACAAGCTGGACTTTGCCATGTCCACATATTTACTGTCTGTGTACAGATTGGAATACATGAGGTATGCCAACATGTCTATAATATGTATTGGGTTATGTGCTTCACGGTGTTCGGGGATTATTCTAGTGTGCAGTATATCGTTTCTATAAGTGATGTTTTCTCCTTTTAGGATGCTGCGTGCTCTGGACTCTGAACGCTTTCAGGTCATGTTTCGATACTTTGAAGACAGAGCAATACAGAAGGATAAATCTGGTAAGCAAAAAAACAAACATAAACAGGTGCTTTTACATGCTTATTATAATCATTAACATTTAAAATATTCCTTCCAGGCATGATGCAGTGTGTCATTGCTGTGAGCGACAAGGTTTTTGAGGTCTTCCTGCATATGATGGCTGAAAAGGTAAGGGAGATGTTTTTTCAATGAAAAGAAACTTGTATCCTGTGAGGAATGTGTTTCTTCTTTAGTCATTAAACAGTCAAATTGCATTTTTACTTGTCACTCAAGGATTTCTAAGATTACATGGTTTGTTCCATTGGCATTAAAAAAACGCTGCTGCTCATATAAGGTATTTTAAGTGCTGCCTGCGTAGAGGCACAAATATAGGAGGGCTGAATGAAAATGAATTCAAGTTGCTGCAGCTGCACCTGATTTATTGTGGCTTTAAAATAAACTGTGTATAAGGTTTTAACATCTGGGAAAGCAGATTTTTTTAATGAGAGAAAAAGAAAACAGTAAAAAAAAGTCTTAACAGTTTAGAAAGTAAAAAAAAAAAGCTTGTAAATCTTAACTAAGGAGTTAATTGACAGAACATTTATATAGAGCTTGTTTGAAAATGTTGGATTTTCTAGCAAAAATGTGCTTGTACTTCCAAATGTGATTGTTTTCCATTTTTGCCTGTTATCACTGTACTCTAAACATTATTCAACTTTGGACTGTTGGTTGAAACAAAACAAGACTTATTAGGACATTTCTAGAACAAATAAAGAATTAATTAATGAGAAAATAGCCTAACTTATCTAATATTTATGCTATATTTTCAGCCAAAAACCAAAGCCCACGAGGAGGAGCTGGAACGACATGCTCAGTTCCTCTTGGTCAACTTCAACCACATCCACAAGAGGATCCGCAGAGTGGCTGACAAATATCTGTCCGGCCTGGCTGAAACGTGAGAGTGCATCAATACACATGCCTATATATCCAGAATACTGTTTAATATACATTAGTGTCAACATTATTTTCTCTCCTCAGTTTCCCCCACTTGCTGTGGAGTGGCCGTGTGCTGAGAACCATGTTAGACATCCTGCAGACGCTTTCCCTCTCACTCAGTGCAGTAAGGGATGTTAAAAGTGGATTATTCAACAGTCATCAATCAGTTTCTCTCTATACTTAAGGGTGTTTGTGCTGCATTTCAGGACATTCACAAGGACCAACCTTATTACGACATCCCAGACACTCCACATAGAATCACCGTCCCAGACACATACGAAGCCAGAGAGGTAATTACACTTTATTCTTGATTTCCGCTTAAAAAGAACTCAGCATTTACTTATGTTCTACATCTCTATATGCAATTTGCTAAAAGTATCTAATGCTTTTGTATCTTAAATTGTAGAGCATAGTGAAGGATTTTGCTGCTCGTTGTGGAGAGATTCTTAAAGAGGCGATGAAGTGGGCGCCATCTGTGACCAAATCCCACCTCCAGGTAACATTTATTTCTGAAAAAGTAGTCCTATAATACTAGAAATCTCTACATGTAGAGCCTCATATTAAATAAAGTTCACATTGTGGCCCAAAACATTCTTTCACCTTTGTACTTTGTGTTTTTTTCAGGAGTATCTGAACAAACATCAGAACTGGGTGTCGGGTCTGTCCCAGCACACGGGCCTGGCCATGGCTACAGAGAGCATCCTGCACTTTGCTGGTTACAACAGACAGAGCAGCACACTGGGGGTAAGTCATACAGCTTACTTGCACTTATACTTGTTAATGCTCCAAATTGATAATTTATTTCAGAAATGAAAATGGCTCAAGAATGGAGCCTTGTGGGACACCATTAACAATAGTTGCTTAATTCACTGTTTATCCACTAATGGGGGCTTGTAGTTATTATAGGTGTACCTGACTTAACTCAAAATAAAGTGAAATAGATCCAGAATACTTAGAGCAAGAGAACAATGTATTTGGTGAAATAAATGTGTTACTTAAATGTGATGGCAAGTTAACCTTCTTTCTACATTATAAATTACAATTGATATGCTTATTTCTTATGCTTCACCTGTAGACCACTCAGCTGACTGAGAGACCATCCTGTGTGAAGAAGGACTACTCCAACTTCATGGCCTCCCTCAACCTCAGGAACAGATACGCTGGAGAGGTAAAACCAACAAATCATACATACAATTTCTCATAACTAACTGCTCTGCTTTCTGTGTCTTAAAACCACCAAATTATATTAACTTATTTGATCAAACACTTTTAAATGTCGCTTCACATGCTCACTTCTTCTCTATCTTCTTTTCTTTCTCTTTTGTCTGTAGGTATCTGGTATGATCAACTTCTCCGAGGCAGTTCGAGGACAATCCGATCTGAGCCAGATGATGATCAAGCAGATGGGAGAGGCTTTAGAATCTGCACAACCTAAAGCCTTCACTGAGTCCATGTTCAAACTGGCTGCTTTGCTCATTAGCTCCAAAGGTTTTACATTTTCACTTAGATTAATATGTTTTATTTTAAATGCACAGCTCTTTGTTGTTCTTTGCTCTGGACTTGTTGTCTGACTTCTACTTTCTCCATATTTTTCTTAAGAATGCGATCCTCAGCTCCTGCACCACCTCTGCTGGTCTCCTCTCAAGATGTTCACATCACACGGCATGGAAACAGCTATCGCCTGCTGGGAGTGGCTGTTGGCAGCACGTGTTGGAGTGGAAGTACCGGTACATATCTTTTTTTCTCTAAATCATTTTTGTGTCCTTTGGGACAGTGCATTTCTATAGTGCTTTTATACAGTAAAAATCGCTTTTCTACACAGTTTATGCGGGAGATGGCAGGAGCGTGGCAGATGACGGTGGAGCTTAAGATGGGCTTGTTCTCCGACGCTCAGGTGGAGGCTGATCCTCTGGCTGCTTCAGAGGAGAGTCAGCCTATCCCCTGCCCTCCAGACGTTAACCCTCACCAAATATGGATCGAGGTCAGACAAAAGCAATTCCACTTTGGTTACTATAACATGCTTTTATAAATGACCTTCCCCACTACTTATTGTCTCTCATGCCTACCTTTTTTATTCTTCTCCAGTTTCTAGTCCAGAGGTTTGAGATTGCAAAGTATTCCAGCGCAGATCAGGTTGAGATCTTTGGCAGTCTGCTACAACGCTCCCTGTCTCTCAATGTCGGTGGGGCGAAGAGTAGCCTCAACCGCCACGTAGCTGCCATTGGGCCTCGTTTCAGGTACATTAACACAAAAAGCTAAAAGATAATGTCGGTAAGTTTTCTGATCCCTTTACTTTACCTACCTGTCATTTGACGTCTGTTGATTCTTCAAGGGTCTTCAAAACAAGCTTGTTTTTTAAGAAAATGTGCTAATTGCATGGAAAGTGTAGAATTTTCTATTGCAGATTTGTTTATATATGTCTATGTACTTCAGGCTGCTGACTCTGGGACTGGCTCTGCTCCACTCTGATGTCCTCACAAATTCAACTGTAAGAAATGTGCTCCGAGAGAAGATCTATTCTACAGCCTTTGATTACTTCAGGTACCTACACACTCAAAATCTATGGAGCGACAAATATTTTCATGCAATACATGTGTAATGGCTTTTTCAATTACAGTAATATATTCTATAAAACCTAAAAAGAATAGTACAAATACCACAGTAGCTTGAGAAGATTTCTTTATAGTGCTTGTTTCCAAAAATAGTCCAAATTCCAAAATAATCAATTATAGAAAGAAGAATGTTTTTTGCTAACATGCTAAACTAAGATGGTGAATGTTGTTTTACCTGCTAAACAGTGATATGTAAGCATTTTGATTGGGTGTATGTTAGCATGCTGACATTAGCCAATAACTAAAAGCACTGTTTTGCCTAAGTAGAGCCTCAAAAAGAATTGAATTGCAAATCAAAATCCCACTCAATAAACTATTGATGATCTAACTCTCCAGCGCCCCTCCGAAGTTTCCAACCCAAGGTGACAAGCATCTCCGCGAGGACATCTGCATCATAATCCGTTTCTACGCCAGCATCCTGTCTGACAAGAAGTACCTGGCAGCATGCCACTTGGTCCCACCTGGTGAGCTTGGTACTACCCCGGCCCCGAGCACGCTCTCTGCCGGGATATTTGGATCGCTTATCGTGTCCAGCACTTCTCCGATTTCCCTCTTAAGTAAGCCTAAAGCGGTGCAGCTCGGACTGCACTGCAGCAGGGGCATGCTTATGGCGCGTGACATATTTGACGCTGTTTGTCCTCACAAAGCTGCTGATAGATCCTGGTATCTATCAGTTGATATTACCAACCTAGTTGTTTACATTTTTAACGTTTTTTCCTCAGTGTTGGTTTTACACTTCTTTTCTTCCTCTTATTTTCAGTGCCTTTTTTTAAATTTGTATTTACAATCTTTCCTGAATAATAAGCAGCTGTGAGGAAAAGCTCAAATTTGTCAACTGCGTTAAGATGCATGATTATTCATCATCTCAGCCCCACCCGTCTGCTCCAATCCTCGATTTGATCAACTTCCAAATAATTAATTACAAGCTATAAAAATGCTTTTTTCTTCCAACCCAGAAAATCCTCTCCTCTTCATTACTGACGACCCAGAGATAAGACATGGTCTCATTCTCATACACATTGTAGCGCTTCAGGTAGACGGGTCCTCTAACCGCTGATCCTGGGTCAGAGTCATTCGCTGCCAGCCCCCCTGCACATTAACAAGACAAAAAAATATCTGACCCAGTATCAGTGGTTTAAAGGAAGCTCTGCTTACATGCTTTCAAACGCATGACCATCACAACAGCAGAGGACTAACTGATAACTCATCTCGCTCATCTCTCCTCATATTATGATCGTTTTGCACTGTTGAGAATTACTACATGAGTCTACATGTGCTTGTGTCTGGACCAAACTAAATCTGTTTGCGTGTAAAACAGATAATCAGGACCCGTCCCTGAACAGTCTGTCGGTGATGAACGCAGCCGACCTCCGGAGCAGCATGGACTCCAGTGCTCGCTCCCAGCAGAGCAGCCAGGGCTGGATCAACACCTACCCGCTGTCCAGTGGCATGTCCACTGCATCCAAGAAATCAGGTACTGCTTAGGATCAGCATGGGAACAATATGTTTACAGAGAAAGAGATTCCAAAAATGAGTTACAAACTCTTTTCCAATTTTCTTACCTCAGTTCTGCTGTTTTTTAAACAGTCTTATTTGTTTGTTTGAGGTTATGCCTGTCTGGATTTATATGTAAGATCTCATAGTATCAGATGTTTTATCTTAACCTGTATTAATATGAACTAAATAAATAAGATGAAGTTGGTCATTTAACTCTCAAAACTGGGAGCATGCAATATGCTGGATATGCAACTTGTTCAGTCACTTTCAGGTGGTAACACTTCAACTATAAAGCTTAACAAGCTTTTTGAAAGGTTTCTGCATTAACGATGGAAACTGTAAAATAGACTGGTTATCTTAACTGTATAGCACCAAATATAACAATACATACAATTAATTGGAAAAATACTGCAACTGTTTTTATTTATTTAATTATTTATTTTGACCCTAAAGTAAACAAAGGGATGGACAACATTGACTGTCCCATAATAAAAGATAATTGAACCTTTAGACCTCCGATAGGAACAGAGTCCGGATTAAGACTAAAGAAATGTTCCCATTCCATGAGAACACAAATACAGACAACTTAAACCCACATTATGGTCTAACTATTCTCTGTTCCCTAGGGACGTCTAAGAAGAGTAACAGAGGGACGCAGCTTCACAAATACTACATGAAACGCAGGACTCTGTTGCTGGCCCTGCTGGTGAGGGGAAAAAAATAAATTTCATTCATTGTTTTTAACTCCTCTTCTCATTATCACCCACTCTTCATGCTCTCTTTCTCGTTCCCCTTTCTGTGTTTCCAGGCCAGTGAGATCGAACGTTTGACCACGTGGTACAACCCCCTCTCCGCTCAGGAGCTGGCCATCGCAACGGAGCAATCTGTGGAGACCAGCATCGCCAACTGGAGGTCCAAATACATCAGTCTGACAGAGAAACAGTGGAAGGACAACGTGAACCTGGCCTGGGGCATCGCACCTTACCTGGCCATGCAGCTACCAACAAGGTTCTCACTCTGTTTGTTTTAAGGGGACCTATCATGCAAAATGCACTTTTCGATGTCTTTTATACATAAATATGTGTCCCCGGTGTGTCAGGGAACTCACAAAGTGTCAGAAAACAAAACCCTCTCTCTTTTCCTCCGTACCCAAATCTAAAAAAAACGGAGGTACAATGGAGCTGATCCAGATTTGCGTCCAATATGACGTAATATCAGAAATGCAGACCCACGGCCCTATCAGAAACGTCACTATCAGAAACAATTCCCGACGTGTTTTGGACGTAATATGGTCTTTGTTTACATTAGCAAGCATCGCTAACACTCAGAGCTAACCTGTACTGGAGAGAGTACTGTATGTGTAAAAAAGCAGGAAATAAAAAAAGGAACTCACCTTGTGATAAACCGGCAAGAGAAAAAAGCATTTGAGCTCCATACTGTTTCAGAAATAATCCTTGATGGGGTTTGGAACATGATATGGCGTTTCATCACGGCAGCATTGAGCTGTTTCTTCGGTATAATTCTGAGCAGGCATTAGTTCCCCCTCCTCTTTTTTAGAACCTGCAGTTCTCTAACACAGGGGTTCCCAAACTTTTTAAACACGATAAAGAAAAAAACTCTTCCTCCCTTTGTAAAACTAAATTTGATAGATTTATTTGTTTCTTCAATACATTTAGGAGTTTTGCAGCTGCAGCCTTACTTACAATACGTTTAGTAGCTTAAAGTGGATAATGTTCACTAAACCTTTTTAGGGAATACAGTATATTCTGATAAAATATAAAATCTTTAAACCAAGCTTTTTTAATGGTTTTACCACTATAATTTAATTTGGATGTCATTTTGAATGAAATGTTCTTATGTGTGTACCTCATTGGAATAACAGTTGCACTTCAACGCTTTTTTTGTCACTTGTTGTTACAGTTGAGTGAAGGAAGCAGGACCCAAATGCAGATAACCCTGAAAATGCCTTTATTTCAAGGATAAAGTAATAATAACTTGGTCAAAACAGAACACACACCGGTGAACTCAGTCACAAACAAAAGACGAACCAACACTGAACACAGGAAGAGACTAGACTAAGGTTGCATTCCGATAATCCAAAAATCAGCTCCTAAATTCTAACCCTATCTCCTATTCCTTGACCTCTGAGTGAAACGTCACGGGGTTAAGGGATAGTGGTTAGGAGAATTCAAAAGGACTTAGGAGAAGAGACTGCGGTACTTTAGGGAATCCGAATGCACTTTCACTATCTGACGTGTTTATGATGCGCCAGCGGACGTCATTGTGTGCGTCTGCTGCTGTGGTGAAACTACAGTGTTCTATACAGCGCACTACAACATGGATGTTTAATAAGAACGAGGGACTACTGTAAACTCATCTAGAGACTCTGCACCGTGCTCTGATGCTGTTGCTTTATGAACGTGGACAACAGAGAAACATGTTCTTCATGACCAAAGTTGGAATTGAAATAAAAAAGGAAAGTGAAACTTATGCTCGTCACCCTCTCCCTCCGGTCCACATTAATACAAATGATCCCAATACTTATGATTGTATGAATATATATCTTAAAATCAATACAAATGTATTTATTATAAACGTTAGTCCTTAACACCTATCACTGTGTATATCACCATTCAAACATATTTTAAAAGTTGAACAAACCCCACACAGCTCAGTGAAATGTTGACTTTATTTGATCATTTCAGTAAAAACTAACGTTCATATTTCTCTTTTTGATTAAAATACTGATGAACGTTCAAAACAAAGCACTTTGGCAACTGACCACATACGTTTTAAAATGCTTAATAAGCACTGTAACTTTCATGATATAATTTCTCCGTCATAATCATTTGTTTCCTTGAAAGGCCGACTGTTGTGTGACGCAAATGCTGCGGCTGCAAGGCATTGTGGGGCAGCATTTTCTCCTCTCCATTCAGTTAGGGAGGTCCAGTGGTTCCTAAGCTAAAGGAGGTTATAAAGGAAGTTTGAAACCTCCTTTCCTTTCATTTGGAGAATTGGAACGGCACTTATCATGGCTGCCTTCTTCTCTTGCTTTTGGCGGATTGCAAACAACTTAAAAGGTGCATACCGCCATATCATGGCTGCCACTGACGTACTTCCGGGTCATTTCACTTGGTTAGGAAGGTTCCTAAGCTAAATGGACTATTGGAACGCAACCTAAACACAGGGAGGGGTAATCACAAGACGAGAAACATCCGGGCAGGGGAGGAGAAACACAAGGGCAACAGGTGAACACAATCAGACAACTAGACACACCGGGGAAACTAACGACAGGGGAAAAACACAGGAAGAAGGACCAGACAATATACAAGGAGGAAAACATGACAGGGAGAACAGCAAAACACCCAAAACAAGACATACAAAACGTGACGTTACACAATAATCCTGACACTTGTGACCGCATCGGCTTCTGTTCAGAAACAGTTAAATCGTTTTTTGAATTCCAACCACTGAAAAAAGGTCAATCTCCTACCTGATCCAGATGATTTACTTGTTTGCTTGGTTCCCAGGTTTAAGAATGATGCTATTGTTGCTGAAGTGACCCGGCTGGTGAGACTGGACCCCGGAGCCGTCAGTGATGTCCCTGAGGCTGTCAAGGTAACAGCACTTAGTCCAGTATAGCTCAGAAATTGTGTATTTTATGTTTTAACTTAATATTTTCGTTCACTCTCCTTACCTCCTAGTTCCTGGTGACGTGGCACACTATCGATGCAGACTCTCCTGAGCTGAGCCACATCCTGTGTTGGGCTCCAACAGACCCGCCCACTGGTCTGTCGTACTTCAGCAGCATGTACCCTCCTCATCCTCTCACCGCTCAGTACGGGGTGAAGGTGCTGCGCTCCTTTCCTCCAGTAAGTCACACACTAGTGGATTCCTGCTGTAGAGACATACAACTTGAGGGCATTCACAGATATAACGTTTGTTTATTTCTCTTTTTAGGATGCCATCTTGTTCTACATCCCTCAGATTGTTCAGGCTCTCCGTTATGACAAGGTAAACATGACCTGCTATAGCTAGAATGGTTAGCCGACTGAAATGAATCAACAACCGTCATACTTCACGAAGCAGTAGTAATACACTCTGATGCTCTGTCCTGCTCAGATGGGCTATGTGAGAGAGTACATCCTGTGGGCGGCCCAAAAGTCTCAACTTCTCGCCCATCAGTTCATCTGGAACATGAAGACCAACATCTTCATGGACGAGGAGGCGCACCAGAAAGACCGTGAGTAGAGGGTTCAAATCACAAAGACCTGTAATGCTTCGACTGTGATTTACAGCAGCACTGACAATAGTGAGACCTCAGATTGCCAGATTTAAGTGTAGAACTAAGGTTGAATACTAGAAATTGAGATCTTAGTATTACTTTATATTTTCAGTTACTTCAAGCTATTTAAAAAAATAAATATTGGGCACTTCATGTCTGTTTGTTCTGAAAAAAACCTTATTAACTCTGACCTTTTATTACAGTAATGTAACTTGATACCCTTTTAGTTGATTAGTGATTTTCCTCCAGTTACTTTACACACTAAAATGGCAGTGTTGCAGGCCTTCATGTCTTTAGTCAGACTTCACTTCATTATACATCAATGAAGAGTGATGTTATTGAGATCTAAAATGTCCATTTGTCCTAATTCCATGTGTCTGTTCATCTTTAATACACTCTGAACTGTAACATTTTTACCTTCCAACAATTTATTTTTATTTTTATGTGTAATAACATTGTCCGCCTAACAGAAATCCATTATCAGGCATAATTCAATCCAATGAAGGTGAAAGTGTAGGTGTAATGTCATTAATTCCCGCCTCATTAACATGTGCAGCTGACATCGGGGAGCTGTTGGAGCAGATGGTGGAGGAGATCACAGGCTCTCTGTCGGGTCCGGCCAAAGACTTCTACCAAAGAGAGTTCGACTTCTTCAACAAGATCACCAACGTGTCTGCCATCCTCAAGTAAATTCCTCACCATTACTCTGCAAATCATTAGCAAACAACGGGATGTTTTGGTGTATATTTAACTTGAAATCTTTTTTTTTTCAGGCCTGTTCCTAAGGGAGAGGAGAGGAAACGGGCCTGCCTCAAAGCTCTGTCCGATATCAAAGTCCAGCCAGGTAACATACTCCTCCTCAGTCAGTCTGGATGGATCAGTAAACATTGCTAACAGAAGTTGTTTTAAGTAGTTTCATTTTTACAATATTTAATGGTCACAGTCTTATAGTATAATAATTCATAGATATTTAAAAATAGAAAGAAAACTAAGACCACAGCAAATTCTTTCAAGTTTCTCCAAATTAGGTTTAGTTAGGTTAGTTTGTATATCTTAATAGAAATCAGCTTGTACTCATTTGCCAACTATATCAAATATATTTTCTCTTTACATGTTTTCATTGTGGTACTGTCTCTGTGTTGTTTGTATACATATTTTTCTTTGTAAACTTATTATTATAATTATTGAAGTGTGATTGACTCCTTTTGGTGTTTTCTAGGCTGTTACCTACCAAGTAACCCTGAAGCCATAGTGCTGGACATCGACTACAAGTCAGGAACACCCATGCAGAGGTAAAGGAGATTTAGCATCTTTAACCTCAGATGAAATCGGCATGATACTTTATCGGGACCTATATTGTTGATATCTCATGGGAATATATTCTCTATCGTCACAGTGCTGCCAAGGCGCCCTATCTGGCCAAGTTCAAGGTGAAGCGCTGTGGAGTGAGTGAGTTGGAGAAGGAGGGTCTCCGCTGCCCCACAGACTATACAGACGAAGGAGAGGAGAATCCGGACGGATCACGCAGGATCTGCTGGCAGGCGGCCATCTTTAAAGTGGGAGACGACTGCAGACAGGTAGCCCGCTGAGTTTATGCCCTGGGATATTTCAATAAAGGAAACTTTGACTTTTGTGTAACCCTGCTTCGTTCCTCTGTCTCCAGGATATGCTCGCTCTGCAGATCATTGGGCTTTTTAAGAATATTTTCCAGCTGGTGGGCCTGGATCTGTTTGTTTTCCCCTACAGAGTGGTGGCCACTGCACCAGGGGTAAGACTTCATGTTCAATCATCCACCAAAATAAATCATTCTCTTTTCTGTATTTCCTATTACATTTTTTCGCAGCCTGTAACTTATTTTTGTAGCTTTTCTTTTCATTTTGATGACGTAAACATGACAGCACTGCTACACACAGCTTAAGACCAATCTGGCTAATCACAAAATGTGAAAATACTCAACATTTCCTAATCATTCTTGCATAGTAAAACTAAAAGTACTGTAAGTTAAAATTGTCAGCATTTTGATAATAAATGGATTCCGGCAGTTAAAAGATATATGGCTTAAACTAGCCGTAATTGGCCGGTCATTGCAACCCCATATCTCAACAATGATACTGTTAAACATATTATAATTGTAAGGAAGGATGGCTAAAACGTTGTAACTGTAGATATGTACTTGTTTACTCACTGACCTTTTTTCCCTCAGTGTGGTGTGATCGAGTGCATCCCAGACTGCAAGTCCAGAGACCAGCTGGGCAGACAGACTGACTTCGGGATGTACGACTACTTCCGCAACCAGTACGGAGATGAATCCACCCTCGCTTTCCAGAAGGTGCAAAGAGTTTAACCTTTCAAAGTCACGCTTTTACTCACTGTTCATGAACGACCGTCAACCCTGTCTAATCATATTAAGTATTAAGACAAATAACGTACACCAAAGCCGATCCAAAAGAAGATGCAGAATTGAACCGAGGTGTGGCTGTTTCTCTCTTCTCTTTCCACAGGCTCGGTATAACTTCATCCGCAGCATGGCCGCCTACAGCCTGCTGCTGTTCCTGCTGCAGATCAAAGACAGACACAACGGCAACATCATGCTGGACAGCAAGGGCCACCTCATCCACATAGGTATAGTGTTTAGATATTTAGACATGGAGGTCTGGACTAAGTTGTTGTGGGGGTTACATCCTTTTCAGATTCTTCCAAACACGATTTGTTCATGTCTTCCTTGTTTTTTTAGACTTTGGCTTCATGTTTGAGAGCTCTCCTGGAGGTAACCTGGGCTGGGAGCCTGACATCAAGCTGACCGACGAGATGGTGATGATCATGGGAGGAAAGATGGAGGCCACGCCGTTCAAATGGTTCATGGAGATGTGTGTCAGAGGATACCTGGCTGTACGGTAAGGAAAGAAAAGTGTGGACTCGGATTGTAGATTGTTTGTCCTCCATATGCTTTGTTATGGGACAAAAGAGCTGTATTTCTTTTACGTTAAAGAAGCGAAACAGTGTTCACTTTCATATTGTTGTTCAACATGATACTTTGTTTAAATTTCAATATATCTTATGTTATGTGTGTCTTCTCTGAACATAAAGACCCTACATGGATGCAGTGGTTTCCCTAGTGACTCTCATGCTGGACACTGGACTGCCATGTTTCAGAGGACAGACGATCAAATTACTCAAGTGAGTCCAACAGTATGATGTCGGGAAATGTGTGTAAAATAGGGGGTATACTTGGTGACTTATACTTATTAACGTTGCACACATCACTTTATTAAATGGACCTAATTGTGCAAATTCCACTTCTTTCCTATTTTACATTACATTTGTGTGCAGTAAATAGTGAGAAAGCGGATGGATAATACTGCAGTTCTAAATAATTGTTACTGCACTGTATATGTGCAGCGTTAAGCATTTATCTCAATGTGATTGGGACCAACAAGATACAGAGAATCAAAGGTGTTACAATAGAACAAAACTTATTTTTTGCTGAAACCTTGGTTTTCGTCTTTCATTTTTTTATTTTGACACCCAGAATTATGTTTACGGCGTGTTTTGCTGCCCCTTAGTGGTCAGAAAAATCCATGAACGCAGCATTGAACATTAATGTGTATTTTATTTTATTATAATCAGAGGACGGTTTAACCCTCAAATGAGTGAGAAAGAAGCGGCAGCCTTCATCATTAAAGTCATCCAAAGCTGTTTCCTCAGCAGCAGGTAAGCAAAATACCAAATGTTATCAACATTATGCAAAACACCAACAAAACAAGACATTAAACTGGCCGTCTTATTTCAAACATGTTATGACTTCCGTTGTCTTTTCTTTTATCAGGAGCAAAACGTACGACATGCTGCAGTATTACCAGAACCAAATTCCTTACTGAAAGACTTCTGCCGGACCGCCACTGTCCGTCCGATACAAACGTCTCTACACAAGCAATGCAAACCTTCTTTGGGTTGATTTTAAAAAGGCTGTGCGATGCATTTTCCACTCCGAAACAACAATATGGCACTTTGATCCTAAAGCTCTGATTTTATTCAGCATACTCTAAGTTGTCGGATTTTATATTGTACTTCTGTGTTTTAAAGTACGTCTTCATTCAACTTGAGACTAAAGAACAATGAACAACTTTTACCAAAACAGGTATTTAAACCACCCTTTAAGTATTTTCTTCTTGATGCTGTTGCTTGTTTCTAACACTAACTGTCACACTGGAGGAAGAAGTTTTTGTCAAAGCAGCTCTAATCATCATTGTGATCAATTGTTACTATGCTGTTATCCACTTTTATGCACTTTATAAATCCCAGTATTTCATCGGCTTCTCCTGCCTATGATCACAAGCTTAAATATTATTATTATAAATTAGAGACAAAGCAATCTGCATTTTAATCAACTGATTCTGTAATCACATTATTTTTGATTTAGTAGAATACTAAAGCTGGTAGACAGATCCAGAATTACTCTGCATTTAATCTAACAGTAGTTTTTAGGAATACAATTGGTATTTAGAGAATCAAATGTAATTATGCTGTAGTACGTACTGTAGAATATTTACTGTAGATCAAATCAACATCGCAGCTAGTTTTCTGTGATTTATGTGGAACTTGTAGAGTGTATGTGAAGAACTTATTAATCAGAAGATTATAATAGCTGTACTGCTTTGAAGATAACCCTCAAAGCCAGTCGTGTCTCACATCAAAATGTTAGCTTTTGCTTTGTTTCAGTTATGTAGAGATTGTTTATTTTCCACTACATGAATCTGATGACTGACGACCTGCAGTTTGAGGAACCTGTACGGCTTTGGTGCAAGGTCCTGCTTTTTTGTTTCCACTGTGTTTTTTAAACTGGGTTGTTATGGGTATACCTCTTCAAAAATACATTTCAAATGCTCTGTTTCTAAGCAGCGCTAAAAGGAAGGACAAGTGTAGAGAACAGAAGAGGAAAGCAGAACCTGTGGCTTCATGTTAAGTTCCTGTTGTGGAAAAGGACATGAGGATAGAGTAAAGCTGCAACAGTACATTTGTCAATTAAATTAAAAGTAAATGTCTACTATTTTCAAAATCTATTAATTGTTTAAGTAATTTGTCCTATAGAAAAGTCAGAAAATAATGTTTCAAGCTTCTCAAATATGAAGCCGTTCCCTTTTTTTCTCAGTTTTATCTAATATTAAACTGAATATCTGGAGAAACTGGGATGAAAAACGAATTTCTGATATTTATAGACCATTTATAGACCGAACAATGAATAGATTGTATTCGGCAGATTAGCTAGCTGACGGCAGACCAGGAACCCACTGACTGCTAATCACATGTATGTCTTGTCTTATGAAATGTGTCAGAAACATTTTCCTAACATGTAACTGTTTGGAAACATTCCTTTGTGTATCTGAGTTATATTGAATCACTTGGGTTTGGAGTTTTGTTGGATGATCTTGCTTTTACCGCTGCAGACGATGATTATACCTTAAAAGCCATTTCTCATATACCTAAGGTAGAAACACAACTGTAGTAATACTTGACGAAAACCCTAACCTTATGCAATATATTGATGTATATTGATGCTGTACTTATTTGTTATATGCTCAACAAATGAACTAGCTATAATTCCTTCCATCGTGAGAAGTGTTTCTCTGTCTGTCTTAGTGTCGTTGCAGAATCGACGTAAACGCAAGTACTTGTTTAATGGCTTGTAAAAGAGTTAAAGAGGCTGCTGTGATAAACTCTTTATGAAGCCATTTCAATGTAGTGGATTTTATTCTTGAGTTGCTGTATTTTAAATGAGTTAGTCATCCCGTATCTCAATCAGATATGTAATATATAAATGTGTGTGCATTTTTTGTTTGTATTTGCTCAGTTTGTGGCGACATCATTGACGGTTCAGATTAATCACCTCTGTTGTTCTGATAATATGTGAAAATGTCTTCTTTCCAGATTAAATGTGTAAACATTTCAAATCACTGATGTGTGTTACTCCTTTGTTCTCTGCCTTGTTGTCATGAGCTCAAAATAACTTCCACAGCGGATTAGAGTTTTTTTTTTTAAGAAGTTGGGTTCATTTTTCAACCCATAAAGAAACTAAATGCTAAATATATAAATAAAATGTTTTTTTGTTTTAACGCAATCTGGTATGTATGCGGTGGAGTCGGCTACCAAGGGATTCTTATCACGTTTCAATCACATTTAATTGTATCTTAGAGAAAGGTATGAAAATTAAAATGATAAATCAATCAATCAAAGTTTATTCATATATCACAAACGTTACATTTTGTCTCGGGGGGGGGGGGTCCTTTACAGTTTGTAAAGAATACGACCCCCTCTGTCCCTCACATCGGACAAAGAAAAACTCCCAAGGAAATCCCAGAGTTAATGGAGATAATAATTATATTTTATTGTATATTAAGAATAAATAAATTAGGATTTTCATAAATGCCCCTTCAAATGATCAATAACTTCCACTATAGTTAATGTTAAAGATTATATTTGTTCAGCCCGTAAATCAAAGTTAGTATTTTTTTACTCTCATAATTCAGACCAGAATAATGAATTGGAGAAAGAATAAATGCTTTTAATGAATCTGAAAAGATATGAAGATCCTATAGCTTCTCCCTGATTGTTTCTATTAACGTATTGTTTGGTTATACACAAAATAATCCACTTTCTAAGGATAGCAGGGCAGCTGAAACTCTACTTATCATATTCTGTTGTCTGAGCCTGGAAGCTATGAACGGAGACAAACAAAGAGAGGAGAGTTTAATGAAAATGCAGCCAGTTGTGTTGAACTCTGACCTGGGACACAAGAGAAGGGGCCCATTTCACACCAGAGGGCCCTGCCATATGTCTGATAGGAAGCAGAATAATGTGATTTCATTACGAAAAATCTGATGTAGAGAAGTTAACAAAAAGGATTAAAATATCTTTCAAGTTTGGTGTTCGACAAACTATCGATAATAACATTTTTAATTTTGTGAACCAACAAGATGCCTACCGAAGAGAGAAATGTATGCCAGTAACACAAAGGCAAAGATGGCGGTGGGAGTGAAATCTTGGCTTGTGCACAAAGGACCCCCGACCCCCCCTCCTCGTTATTGTCACTGAGCTGTATAGGGCATGGGCCCCTGGGGACATTTTAACAAAAAATCCTAAAACTAAAAATAGTTCCTAACTGGCCAAGCTTGGAGAAACTGCTAATAGTAATGTGGCTCCTACTTTGAGTCTCAATGAATTGTTGGTTTGTGCAACTCTTTACTGCAGAGATCCTGAAAAAACACAGTTTGCAGCTTGATGGACTTTAAATATCTCAGAACTATGACCACACATTTTGTCTTAAGAACTAAATATAAACATTTGACTTTGTTTCACATATGAAATTTGTGATAGTTTAGTAAATATATTAAACATTTGTTTAGGAAAAAGGACTTGATACATTTTTTATTTCACAATCTCTGACACAGTCATCCTCGAATCACTGAAGCACAAAATACTCCCTCAGACTCTCTTATTTTAGACAGCATTGTGTGATCATGATTTTTATGTGTACCCTAACTTCAGAGCTCCATCTAGTGCTCAGAAAACACTTTCAAACTCAGATATTCGGAGGAGGACATGGGTCAGTTGCTGCTCTTACAGAAACGTGAGAAATGTGTCTGATTCAGCATTTAGTTTTTTCTATTCAGCCTATGTATACAACGACATGAAAAATAAATGTGATGGTGAATAACTCTTATATATGGACAGCAGTCCATCAGACAAATAAGTATAGAACTGAAGACCATGATAAGGGTGAATTTAGTCCAGAATTACCAGTGTGACTATTACCACTTTCATGTTTGTATGCTAAATATAAAAGCCATTTATCTAAGCATATATATAAAAAAGCGTATAAAGAATGCAAACACATGGAACGGTATGGCATATTCATAATAATAACCTTGTGGACTGTTTCAGTAAGATAGTTTTGTGCAATGGATTTCTTATGAATGTCAATAGACTCTAAACTTGTTTATAGCATGATTATAGCCCTGTCCTTTGTGTCCTTGTGATTACTGTTATCCTTATTGTTGACTTTTACTGAGTTTTATTTGATTTATTCATTTATTTTTGGCCCATTGCTGATGCCAGGAATCTTCCAAATATTCTATGCGTTAGAATTGCTTTCTTACATTACTGTATAATTTAATGTCAAACTTTGCTGTTGTATTTTTTCATGCATTTCTGCATGAATGAGAAACAATTCCACCTATAATATTTTGTCCTATAGTGGTGAATTGTAACTAAGTGTAATTACTTAACTGCATTTAACTGCAGGCAAGATTATGCAATAACTTATCATAACTAACACATAGTGAGTATGTTCCACTACGTCCTATAAATGAGAGGTTACTCACAGGTGAGTATCACTGTATGACTGTCTGTCAGGTGTTCTTATCAACAGGTACATTTCCCCCTCCAACTGAGTGACGTCATGGGGATGGGCAGGTCACGTGGTCCGGTCATAGGAGACCTGTTGGTGTAAAGTTACTGAAATGGGAGAGAAGAAGAAAAGGAGGAGGTGGATAAGGAAGGAGGCGAACAAGGTAGGTTAGGCAGAATAATAACTGCATTTATATCCTAATTTCAAAAGTATTTATCGATGCGGTTAGTTAGACATCAATATGGAGTCTTTTATAGTTTGAAACGGAAACCTTTTAAGGAAGAAAGGTCAGTAAACGTAGCGTTTTGTTATCTTAACGACGGCACCTCGAGTGAAGTTAACCTCCGTTGTCGTCGCGAAACTTTTTTTTTAAACAGCTGTCTAAAGCGAAATTTAAGCAAGCTACTTTTCTTTTTTTCTTTTATAATGTAACCTGAAGCATGATAGTTACCTTTAAACGGAGTCAAGTTATTGCGTTAATTTACTTTTCTCCCTGACCGAGCACTCTGGATGCGAGCCAACACTTGTTGCAATGTTATTAGGCCTCCTTCACTGCACACATGTATTACATACCTGCTGTGGACTGAGTTTTAAATGTAGCCTTTGTTGTCAGTACTTCAGTGTCATGTAATTATATCAGAGCCGAGATGTTTATAGACCTCTGTATTATTATAAAGCAGATTCCTCATAACAGGAGTCTCTGACATTATTACTGTAGGTGTACACAAAAGTACTTCCCCATGTGAGCCGTTATTTTAGGAGAAAAGTACTAATACCATACTGTTTAGCACACATACAAGTACTGCATTAAAGGTATTAGTTACGTAGTAAAAGTATGTAATTAGGAAGTGTACTTTACATGCAAATATTAAAAAGACAACGTACTCGCCATGTAGAGTTGCCCCTTTCAGAATATATCATATAATTGGATTATTATAATGGATGCATTTATGTGAGCTAGTTTTGATAGCGTTATATACTGCTGGGTAACTAAATGTATACGTTTGAAGTGTTGTTGAAGAACAGGATGAGTGAATTCATCAGTGGTGGAGAAATTATTCAAATGCTTTATTTACAAACTACTAATACCACACTGTAATAATGTAATACCTGTAAGTACAAGTAAAAGTGAAAATATGTTACTTAGTATATAGTACAACACACTACTTGAGATGTAGTTTCTTGATGTGGTGCTATCAATTTTATAATATATATTAATGTATATATTTTTGATTAAGGGAAACATTCTTTGTTTCCACCTTACATTTTGTGTTGCTTTTCTCAATTGTCCAGCACTGTAAATGTAATATATGTTTTTTAATGTTGGCTGGACAAAACACACTTTGAAGACAGTTATTTGGGAAATTGTTAGAGTTTTTATTCTCATTAGATGCAGCGTTAAAGAAGTCGACCATCATCTCATCTTGTTGTTTCTCTGCAGGTGAACCATCCAACGACACACTGTCTGTTCATACAAGGTTTGCATTCTGACCTGCAGGCCAATGTAAGTCGTGTTGAGTGACTGCGTGTGAAAGAGGTATTGAAGCTCAGTTAATATAATTTTTTACCTCTCGAGATCATTAAAGAAATGGGCTTTTAAGGGCTGATTAAATGTCAAGAATACATTTTTGTGCTGCCTGCAACAACTATTCATAAGTTTTGATTCCTGGGTAGGACACATGAGAGCTTATTACAACATCAACAACATCATCAACAACAACGGGGGAATTCTTACTTCATATTGGATGGCAGCACAAAAATATATTCTTGACTCGGCTTGCATGGAGGATGCTGGGATAACATCTTCACTCATGAGGGCTTTTCTCTGGTGACCTCAGGTACTTGGGGGTTAGCTGCAGCTCGTAGGTACAGTATGTGGGGCAAGCAGATTTTGCATGAATGATATTCTTGAATATCTAATTCAAATTTCTCATCAGTTTGGGAAATGTTTTTATCTTCTGGCCTTTTCCTTCTTACATGTTTATTCTTTCTTTGCTTTCCTGGTTCAGGTAATGATTTGAATCGATGAAAATGTATATCTAGGACTGAAATGATTATTTTATTGACAAAAACATACAATACATTTTCAAGCAAGTTCCTGCCTCCGGGCACATTTTTCAAGGATTTCCTGCTTTTTCTATGTCTTATAATATTGTAAATTGAGTATGTTTCACTTTTTGACTTTAAGTTGGCAAAGCAAGGCATCACCTTAAAATGAAGCTTTGAAAACATTAACAGTTTTCTTTAATCACTTATTCATCTGGTCTATTAAGCATTAGAAAAGGATAACAAAAACTTATTTTCAATTTCAATTACCGGTACCTAGAGCTCAAGATGATATCTTTAAATATCCCGTTTTTTTTAAAACCCAAAGATATAAGTGAACAATGTGATAAACAGAAAAAAAAGGCAACAAATCCTTTTATTTGAGTAGCTAAAAGCAGCTCATGTTTCTGCTTGAAAAAAGATGAATCAACTATAAAAATATTTGACAATAATGAAATAATGAGTTGTCAAGCAACTTATTATTTCAGCTTTAAAATAAGGATAAAAAGACCTGTAGGTCAAATTGAAACGCATTAAAACTTCTAAATAAATGTGTGTGTGCTCTCAGGGACCACTACCATCCTCATGTCCAATGGAGGAGGCTTTTATGGACGCACTGAGCGTGTCCGCCAGTCGCCGTACTACGACCAGGTGCCACTGGGCTCCTTACCACGAGCAGACTCCTACGATCCACTTCCGCTGAGAGAGCAGAGAGACACTCGCCTCGCTCAGAGCGCCGACCCCCTCCCTCCTCCGCCTCTCCCTGACCACCCCCCCGTGGGCCCAGAGTTAAATCCCAGCGTCAGTGAGGACAACGGAGACCCGGACGACCCCGCCTTAGATATCAAACCCGTCCACCGCTTCGTCCCAGACTCCTGGAAGAACTTCTTCAGAGCAAGTGACCGCAGCAGTAAGCAGGCGTGGTCAATGCCTGACTCGTCATGTAACAACAACAACAGCACCAGTGACGGGGTGCGCTGCTCTCCTCCACAGTCCCCGGTCCCTGGGTCCTACCGAGATCCTTTTGGGGGCTCGGGAGGCAGCTACAACTCACGCAAGGAGCTTCTGGAACTACGGGAGGGCAATGAGTCCTTGTCGGGGCGCACCCACCGCACAGGTCTGACCTACAGCGAGCGGGTGGAGGAGTACCATCAGCGCTACGACTACATGAAGTCCTGGTCAGGGCTGCTGAGGATTCTGGGATGTGTGGAGCTCCTGCTGGGGGCCGCTGTGTTCGCCTGCGTCTGCGCTTACATCCACAAAGACAACGAGTGGTTCAACATGTTTGGATACTCGTCTCCTGGAGCAGCGTACGGAGGAGGAGGGTTATATGGCGGAGGCACAGGGGGGTCCTACTACTCGGGCCCCAAGACCCCCTTTGTGTTGGTGGTGGCAGGGCTGGCCTGGCTGGTGACTGTGATCATGTTGGTGCTGGGGATGACCATGTACTACCGCACCATCCTGCTGGACTCCAACTGGTGGCCTCTGACCGAGTTCACCATCAACCTGGCGCTGGCTTTGCTTTACATGGCTGCAGGTCGGCAACAGCTCATATTACAAATGGTTTTTCACCTTGATGTATCCATACAGATAGTTTTAATGTTACCGTTGCTTTTGTATGCATTTCAGTCACTTGTCAGGGGCCATGTTCAATATTTAAAAAATACGATTGCCACTTGACATAGTGTACCAGACATCAAAAAAGATAGATTGTTGGTACAGAGTTGATTACCTTTTTAGAAGACTTAAAATGTGTTTTAAACTGCCAAGGCACAC